GCACAAGAGCGTTGCTCAGGGGATGTGGGGATACCAATCTCCCAAGCAAAGTCATACCCCTTCAGTAATCAAGTTTACCTTTGCACTCTAACAACAGTAATGACCTAATAACTACCTCTTGGATAGTTACCAACACAGGGGGAACTATGCTATCCGTGTGTGTGTGTGCGTGTGTGTGTGTGTGTGTGTGTGTGTGTGTGTGTGTGTGTGTGTGTGTGTGTGTGTGTGTGTGTGTGTGTCTTGACGTCATAAGCTGCTGTATCAAGGAGGTTTATGTAACCCGCCTCGTAAACATCAACGTCATTGTCCTTATACCATACGTCATGATGATGATGATGATGATGATGATGATGATGATGATGATGATGAAGGATAGATAGAAAGTGATGATGATGATGATTATGACTATGATGTTGATGAAGGATAGATAGAAAGTGATGATGATGATGATGATGATGATTATGATTATGATGATGTTGATGATGATGATGATTATGATGATGATGAAGGATAGATAGAAAGTGATGATGATGATGATGATGATGATGATGATGATGATGATGACGACGATGATAAGAGGAAACATAATGATGACGATGATAAAGAGTAGATAAAAAGTGATGATGATGAAATAGACAAGAGAGGAAAAGATGCTTAAAGAAGAGGGAGGATTTGGAACAGGTGTAGGAAGAAGAATGAGGAAGTAGGGAAGGAGAGAGGAGAAGGAAGAGGAGGAAGTGGGTGGAAGAAAGAAGAGGAGGAGGAGAAAAAGGAGGAGAAGGAAGAAGAATATGAGAACATAAGAAGAACATAAGAACATAAGAAAGTGGGATACGGGAGGCCGACTGGCCCACGCCACAGGGCAGTCCTTTCACACACCCGTAGCACTTCCATGTGCCTATCAACTATGCGGCCTCCTAGCGTCCCCCAGTCTACTATAGCACTCAGTAGCCTATTCACATATCACAACTCTGTGCAAACCAGTGCTTGCCTATATCCTTTCTGAATCAAATTTATCTAATTTAAAGCCATTTGTTCCTAGTTATTTCGTTATTACTGAGCTTCAGAACATCTTCCATTTACCCTTGGTAATCCCCACTTACCCCACTTGTACACCTCTATCATATCTCCCCTAACTCTACGCCTCTCTAATGAATGTAAGCCTAAGCTTTTCAGTCTTTCTTCATATGGAAGGTTTCTAATATTATGGATCATTTTTGTCATTCTTCTTTGTACTCTCCAAAGAATCTATGTCATTCTATAATAAGGACACCAGAACTAGACATAATCCATGTGTGGCCCTCACTAATGCTAGGTAAAGGATTTCAAGATAACGTCAGCCAGTTCTGTTACTCACAGAAGAAGGAGGAGGAAGAGCACATCAGACAACTGCGGTAACACACACACACAAGGTCAACACGATTGCTAACTGGTTCCTTCTACCTGTGTGTGTGTGTGTGTGCATGTATGTATCGGTGTGTTTACCTATGCATACATACATACACTACGTACATGTATAAACCTTCACATAAATAATACTCCTTTTGGTTTTTAGTTTAAGTTACTTCTTGTTTTCATTTCCTAAAATTCAAGCAACGTTTTATTTATATTTCGTCACTTGTTATCAGAAGTTTTCATGGGTGTGATCTCGATCCGCCTCTCCGCTACACCCTGACTGGCGCCTGAGGGTGAGTAGGTGGGTATTGGTAGGGAGGAATAGGGGTGGTGTTTGGGGAAGTGGGTGGGAGTGTTGGGGGAGGGGGGTGTAGGGGTGGTGTTCGGGGATGGGAGTGGAGGGGTAGGGGTATGGAGTGGGTTGTCGGGGGTGAGGAGGTGGGGGGGGGCGGTTTCCAGGCCAGTGATTCCACCTAACCTGGATTTTTACTATCAATCCAATCAGGTTATGTAGTTGCTAGAGGTTCCTCCGTCCGTCCGTTCTTTCCTCCGTCCCTCCACCATTCCTCCGTCCCTGCCCCCGTTCGTTCCTCCGTCCCTCCCCCCGTTCGTTCCTCCGTCCCTCCCCCCATTCCTTCGTCTATCTCTCGTATAGGCTTCTATCCTCCTCTCGTGGTTGAACACTTCAGTGAAAGAGATAAAAGGGCTGTGTCTTCCGGGAAAGGTGAACCGTGGACTCGAGTCGTCAGAAACTTCAACGTGTGGGGGATTCAACACACTGCGGTCTGCTCAGGACCCAAGATATTATAAAGAGAGAATCAGAATTCACAAAAAGTTCATATATTGCATTTTAACCCGTAACTTGAGATGTGAGGGTGTATTTGGTAGGTAGATAGATAGAGAGAGAGAGAGAGAGAGAGAGAGAGAGAGAGAGAGAGAGAGATCTTTAGTAAAATCGTTATGCAAGTTTACAATTGATTCACCATGTATAATAAACAACGTTGGTATACAGTTAATCTTCTTCTTCATCTTCTTCTTCTTTATTTGCTATTCGTGGTAGTCAAGTCTTTGATCCTCATGGTCACCAAATTTAAGTTGTAAAATATTTACAACACGACATGACAATTATACAGTACTGTACTCTAACGATGGTTTTCAGAACATTTCGTCTATAAGTCAATATAGTGATCAATATCCAACTCATATCTCGTTCATCAGTCTTTTAAATATTATATGATTATGTATATAAGGTTTATGTTTATAGTATATAAACACAATAACATATAAATCGTCTTGCAATAGGTCTTGTTTTTATAGAATTCGACCAAAGGAATAAAAAATGGGTGAAAGGCAGGAATAGGTTCCCCACTATATCCTGACCAACCAGAGACTTTAACCACTGTCAATAATTTCCTAGTGTGTCTTGATTGGTTGGAAGTAGTCTATACCTCCCCATGATTGGACTGCTAAAATAAATGCCAAATATCGCCATTGCACAAAGGTCTTCTTCAGTATCTACAAAATATTAATTTACCAAACACAATGTCTGCTGTATACATAATAATCTCTGTTGCATAATTTTGATCATTTTAGTACATAATTAAGCTGTAATATGGCGAAGCTTAGAATAATCTGGGTTTAAATTGTCATAACTGCAACCTGTTTTTAATGTGTTGCCAATTACTGGGTCTTATTTAACCGGAAAATATAGTTGTGTCGAGGACGGGTTTCAGGAGAGACTCAAGGCGGTTTGGATCCTCTTTAAAGCATAAATAATTGCCTTTTTTTTCTTCTTTTTTCTTTTATTTTAGAAATGTATGACTCTTACCCTTGAATTTCCTCATTGATAAACAACTATGTATGTATGTATGTATGTAATCGTAAAAAAATACAAAACAAGTTCATATTTTGTACATTAATTTCTTTGCAAATCAACAACAAAAATATAAATATGAAATTGGTATAAAAAAAATCATAAAATTTATTAAATGTTAACATAGTCATACAGTAGTTCCTGTTAACCTAGCCCAAGAGGCTGTGTTGAGGTGCACCTGCTCTCGAGTCTCCCTCACCTTCCTACCTCCATATTAATGACCATCTTTACTACCAAAACAGACAGACAGACATACATGCAGTAGGCAGATAGACAATACAGACAGACAGACAGACAGATAGACAGACAGACAGACAGAGAATCGCCGGTGAAAGTCAAATCTGAGAGTAGGAAGGAAAGAAATGAGAAGAAGAAAAGTGAAGGGGAAGTAAAAAACAAGAAGGTAGAATAAGAAGGAGGAAGAATGAGACAAAGGAAATAGGAAGGGTGAAATGGAGGAAGAAGAAGAAGAAGCAGAAGACCATTATATAAGCGACAGTTTCCAATGGCCATCTGTCTATCCATCTTGTATCTTAGACAGCTAAAAATAAATCTGGTAAACCCAATCACTTCAAACTACCTCTTAACATTACAAACCTATATTTTCAGACCTATGTAAATGTCTGGTTCGAATCTATGACTTTTCCAATATCATCCCTGTTTGTAAATGCTTACTATACAGTTCAGGAAGTGAAGGTCCTCAAGTCCAGTGCCTAAAACGCTCCCCACTCGTGTGTGTAAAAGTGTGTGTGTTGATGCAGATTGTCCGACACTAGTGGTCAGTAAAGGTTTTGGAGACACACTTTCACTTTCACTTTCTTGTTGATTAATGTGACCGAATCATTTATGGGGGGGGGGGTTAAGGTTAGGTTGGGTTAGGTTAGGTTAGGTTGGGTTAGGTTAGGTTAGGTTGGGTTAGGCTAGGTTAGGTTGGTGATAGGTGTGTTTAATTATCAAATGAATTAAGCTGGGATTAAATTAGATTAGCATTAGGGTATTTAGTCACCACGTGAATTAATCTGGAGTAGGAGGAGGTCATCATACGCTGATCTGAATTATTTTCTCTCCTATATTATTAAGCTCTTGTGAGCAGCTGGTGTAGAAAGCAAAAAGACCTTGAACACCTATTTATCCATGCAACAGTTGGCGTCACAACCATCATCAAGACCCGCTCAGTCATGCTCTTAGTCTCTGCATACTAAAGCATTATATCTAGTTTTTAATACACTTACTAGTTTACAGCTAACTTAAATCTAGTCTTAATTTCACTTAGTTTACCTCGTCGCATACTAAAGCATTAATATAGTCTTGAATACACTTATTAGTTTACCTATCAGTGTACTGAAGCATAAATCTTGTCCTAACTACACACAGTTTACACTTAGACTACACAAAAGAAAATCTAGTTAACTTTCTACCTTCATATGTAAAACACTTTCAAACACAAGAAGCAGAAATATCAAAATGTTCCAAGCGGTTTAATGAGTCTGGTTCCTATCTTAGCATATACACCACTCTTGTTACATTCAGTCACTGTGCTGGTTAGGTTAGGTTAGCCCGTTTGTTAAGGCTAGTGGGGTGGTTGGGAGGCCTTGTGTGTGTGTGACTTGAGTACTGCACTGTGTTAAAATGAGCCACAGGAATACTAAGTTACTCAGTGCCATCTTTTTCCGACACCAAAGATATGGCTGACTCGAGACATCCAACCACCTCTGCCAACTGTGTCACCTACCACCTGTGTTCTTTGTGTCCTCTGTGTCACCTGTTTCATATGTGTCCCCTGTGTCACCTGTGTCACTTGTGTCACTTGTGTCTCCTGTGTCACGTTTGTCACATGTGTCACCTAACACTTGTGCTACCTGTGTCACCTGTTTCATCTGTGTCCCCTGTGTCGCTTGTGTCACCTGTGTCACTTGTGTCTCCTGTGTCACGTTTGTCACCTGTGTCACCTGTTTCATCTGTGTCCCCTGTGTCGCTTGTGTCACCTGTGTCACTTGTGTCACCTGTGTCACGTGTCACATGTGTCACCTAACACCTGTACTACCTGTGTCACCTGTGTCACGTGTCACATGTGTCACCAAGAGGAGAGTTCAGGGGTACAGTGTGTCAGGAGACGAGAGAGGGAACACTGGCTATTGTTTCCTGTGTCAAAGGTCAACTAAATGCCAGAGGCTGACACAAGGTGAGAGGGCAGTGTGTCTTGTAACTAGTCTGACGGGCGTTGACGTGTGCTGAGAGGCGCTGACGTGTGCTGATAGGCGCTGACGTGTGCTGAGAGGCGCTGACGTGTGCTGAGAGGCGCTGACGTGTGCTGATAGGCGCTGACGTGTGCTGATAGGCGCTGACGTGTGATGACCACTTTGATAGATAAATCGATCCTTAGAGAGAGATAAAGGTAAAAGTATGTTTAGATAGATGGATACTCAAATAGACAAATAAATATATAGATACTTACGTAAATAGATATAAAATAGACAGATCGATTCGATAAATAGATAGACAAATATAAATAGATCAAAAGATTCATAGTATCCATTTCTTTCAGTGTTAATATTTACACTTTATTCTTATGAAGTTGGGAATATTTACACAAGAGGATCATCACCTGTCCCTTGTGAGCACATTTAAAGCTTACCTGAGTGACGGCGACACCTTGTTTACCTGTACCTATGATAATTGGGTCATATGTAGATCAGACACCCCCAGCTTATACACTTATGGGCTTAATTTCCCTTATGCTAACTTAATATAACCTAACCTAACCTAACCTAACCTAACCTAACCTAACCTAACATAACAAAACGTAATCTAATCTAACCGAATCTAGCAAACCTACTTTAATCTAACCTAATATCGCTTGAATATAACCTTACTTTCCCCCCTTGCTAGTGTTAGGGTATGCGTTACATCACCTGTAAGGATGTGTACAGGTGTGTGTTGCATCATCTGTGAGGATGTGTACAGGTGTGTGTTACATCACCTGTAAGGATGTGTACAGGTGTGTGTTACATCATCTGAGAGGATGTGTACAGGTGTGTGTTACTTCACCTGTAAGGATGTGTACAGGTGTGTATTACATCACCTGTAAGGGTGTGTACAGGTGTGTGTTACTTCACCTGTAAGGGTGTGAACAGGTGTGTGTTACATCACCTGTAAGGATGTGTACAGGTGTGTGTTACATCATCTGTGAGGATGTGTACAGGTGTGTGTTACATCATCTGTGAGGATGTGTACAGGTGTGTGTTATATCACCTGTAAGGATGTGTACAGGTGTGTGTTACATCACCTGTGAGGATGTGTACAGGTATGTGTTACATCACCTGTGAGGATGTGTACAGGTGTGTGTTATATCACCTGTGAGGATGTGTACAGGTATGTGCTACATCACCTGTGAGGATGTGTACAGGTGTGTGTTACATCACCTGTGAGGATGTGTACAGGTGTGTGTTACATCACCTGTGAGGATGTGTACAGGTGTGTGTTACATCACCTGTGAGGATGTGTACAGGTGTGTGTTACATCACCTGTGAGGATGTGTACAGGTGTGTGTTACATCACCTGTGAGGATGTGTACAGGTGTGTGTTACATCACCTGTGAGGATGTGTACAGGTGTGTGTTACATCACCTGTGAGGATGTGTACAGGTATGTGTTACATCACCTGTGAGGATGTGTACAGGTATGTGTTACATCACCTGTGAGGATGTGTACAGGTATGTGTTACATCACCTGTGAGGATGTGTACAGGTGTGTGTTACATCACCTGTGAGGATGTGTACAGGTATGTGCTACATCACCTGTGAGGATGTGTACAGGTGTGTGTTACATCACCTGTGAGGATGTGTACAGGTGTGTGTTATATCACCTGTGAGGATGTGTACAGGTGTGTGTTACATCTTGCAACGAGATGTGTACAGAGTATGTGTTACATCACCTGTGAGATGTGTACAGGTATATGTGTTACATGCCTGTGAGGATGTGTACAGGTGTGTGTTACATCACCTGTGAGGATGTGTACAGGTGTGTGTTACATCACCTGTGAGGATGTGTACAGGTGTGTGTTACATCACCTGTGAGGATGTGTACAGGTAGCCGTCTCAAGGTAATGTGTCTGAGTGCCCTTCGCAGCCTCTTGGTCTGCTGGATCCTGGAAAACTTTTTCATTACTCAACAAAGCCCCCTCCCCCCTGCTCCCTTTACCCTCCCTATTTACCCCCCTCCTGCCCTTTTAACCCCTCCCTCTTGTCCTATTCCCCCTCCCTTCTAACCCTCTCAATGTTTCCCTCCCTCCTTCACTCAATCTTTTCTTTTTACCCCCCTTCCCTCAACTCCCTCCCTCTGGCTTCCACAAAGAACTGCTATTTATCAGCTCCCCCCTCCTCCCCCTCTCTCTTATTCCCTTAAGGGCACAGTCTCATCACCCACCCCCCTCCCCCTCCCCACTCGCTCCTTATCCTTCCCCCCCTTCCCTTCCCTCCTCCCCTATCCCACTCATCTCTTCACCCCTTCGCCTCTTCCTCTTCCTCCTCCCGCCCTCCACCTCTTCTTCTCCTTCCCTTCCTTCCTCCTCTTTTCCCGGATTTTAGAGACGGATTCTCTCTCTCTCTCCTTCATGTCTCTCCTGTCTCATTCTCTCTCTAGACACACACACACACACACACACTGACTTTACACACACACACACACACACACACAGGTGCCTCCTTAGAATCCACGAAAATAAAGTAGTGCCCACCCTTCCTTCCCTTCTCCTTCCATCTCCTTCCATCTCCCCTTCCATCTCCCCCCTTCATCTCCCCCTTCCATTCATCCCTTTCACCTCCCCCCTTCCATCACCCTTCCCCCTCATATTAATTTAGTAAATGACTTTCCTGAGAGTGAGTTAGCATGTTTTAGGTATGAGAGAATGTGTGCAACCCTTGGCAAAAACTTGTGGCAGAATGATGCTTGCACGTTAGGTTAGGTGAGGTTAAGTTAAGTTAGGTTAGGTTAGGTGAGGTTAGGTTAGGTTAGGTATCTACGGTTAACCTACACACAGCGAGTCCGGAAAGTCCACAGCCAAAGGAAGTTACAAATTATCCAAGTGTTTCCGATGTTTTGTTCAAGGGAAATGAAGTTTTTTTCTTTTATCTGCTTGTGTTTTAGTGTATGTATGTATGCAAGTTTCTTTCCGCCATTTGCCTCTGTCTACCCAGCAGTAATTGGGAATCTGGATGTTAATCGATTTGCGGATCGTGTTCCGGGGTAAGGGTTAGCCAGTGCAGTTAGCAAGTTGTCCGGTCTTCTCGGACTATTCCTTGACACTGGGTCATGCAGCTCGTTAACTCCGGGTGTGGTTGTTGTGTTGACGACAGCTTCTACACCTTAAACAAATTCACGCCTAGGTGGCCCTAGGGCCGACCACCCTCGTTACACGAAGAGCAACCATAATTATGTATGTATGTATGTATGTATGTATGTATGTATGTATGTATGTATGTATCATCCTCTCCTCACCCTTACTTCATCCCCTCACCCTCCCTTCACCACGTCAATTCAGCCTCCCCTCTCAAGTGTGTAAAGGACGTAAGCCTCACTGCCACACGTCATGGGTCGACCAGCTGGGGTTGAGAGGGAAACAGAGCGTTACTGTAGCCTTCAGGGACACGAGATTACCAGATGATTGTAAATAATGTCTCTGTTTGTCTTGGCTTCACCGATGATGAGAACGCCTGTCATATGGAGCGAGGGAGGAGAGGTGCTTACAGATGAGGCAAGTGAGGGAGAGGCTGGGTTAAGTGACAGGCCTTATGTAACTCCTTCCTAGGCCCCTGTTACTCCTTCCTAGGCCCATGTAACTCATTCCTCGGCCCATGTAACTCCTTTCTAGGACCCTGTAACTCCTTCCTCGGCCCATGTAACTCATTCCAGGACCCTGTAACACCTCCTGGGCCTTGTAACTCATTTCCAGTCCCCTGTAACACTCCCTTGGCCTTGTAACTCATTCCCGGCCCCTATAAGTCACTCTCTGGCCCCTGTAGCTCCTTCCCGGGCCCCTGTACCTCCTTCCTGGGCCCCTGTAAGTCCTTCCCGGGCCCCTATACCTCCTTCCTGGGCCCCTGTAAGTCCTTCCCGGGCCCTTGTACCTCCTTCCTGGGACCCTGTAAGTCCTTCCCGGGCCCCTATACCTCCTTCCTGGGCCCCTGTAAGTCCTTCCCGGGCCCCTGTACCTCCTTCCTGGGCCCCTGTAAGTCCTTCCCGGGCCCCTGTACCTCCTTCCTGGGACCCTGTGTGTTGACCAGTGGCCGCCGTACCAAGACTACACCCCGTATGCAGCCTCGGTTCACTATCTGACATCATACATCATGGTGAAGTCGTCAGGACGTTTTGATTCGCTGTCTGGGATAGAGAAGTGAACGGCAGGTTTATTCTTCACTACCTCATAACCTTCTGCTGGAGGGTAGGGAAGGTCGTCACTCGAGCGGTTCTTTTGGAGGTCGTGGTGTGGGGGTCGTCATTTTAGGGGTTCTTGTGAGGGCGCCTAACCTAACCTAACCTAACCTAATCTAACCTAACCTAACCTAACCTAAGAGAAAACGGATAATAGAAGTGAATAGAATAATGAATAAATAAAGAGAATTATTAAAGAAAGGGAATAGACGACATGAGAAATGAAAATATAAGGAGATAAATGAAATAAAAAGTGACAAAAATACGTATATAAAGAAGATTAAATAACGCAGGAAGAAGAACAAGAACAGAAGCAAGAACAAGGAAGAACATGAAGAAGAATATAAACAACAACAATAATAACATCACCAAAAGTATCAACAAAAAACAACAATATTATCAACAAAAACAACAAGGAAAATAAGAACAAGAACAAAATAATTATACTGAAGAACAAAACATTGATGAACTGACGACACAGAGAGAGAGAGAGAGAGAGAGAGAGAGAGAGAGAGAGAGAGGAACAAATA